AGGACAAATGAGATTACTTACCAGTAACTTTGGTTCTCTGCGTACCCATACTCAAAGAATCAATACGGCTAAAAGTAATTTTCCAGAACCTCCTAGGCAGCGGTGGCCGTGAGCATCTTTGCTCTTCACCCCACTGCCAAAGGTATGGAGTCCTGCCTTCTCCTCAGCTCTTTCTGTTGTATCAGAAATATAACCAAAAAACCAGCAGCCATGAAAAAGGATAGGATTTGTGTACAAAGGGGCTTACCCCAAAGAACTGTAGGTGTAGCTGTTATTTTTTGTGGACTGGGAAGGACTGGTATGCTTGATAAAGACAGGGAGCAGAACTACCAAAACGAGCATCAGTTTTGGCTTGTAATCAAGAGAGGAGAGAGCTAAGGATGTGAGTGGATTTTTCATTGGCCCCAAACATGTTTTCAAGTGTTCTGCTAAAAAGACACGTTCGGCTATTGCAAGCAACAAAGAATCTTTAAAGCTGCTTTGGATAGGGCTGAAATCTCTGACATGTAGGACTTCAACCTCACACAGGATCAGGGTAATTATGAACAGTAGGGCGCTTAATGGGAATCACAGTAGCACCATGATAGATTCCACTGGTATCAGAGATTTTTCCAAAGGCTTGGAGAAATAGAGTCCCCACAGAGTGGCCAAACTTTCTGATCTGATAAAATATGACATCTTCTTCTCCGAACATGACCAAGGTTGGGTTTCCCAACTGGCTCACATGCTGCTGGACAGTGCTAGTGCCAGAAGGGCCATCCCACCAGCAGCCCGGCTGCTGGCAATGTGAGTCCTGGCTGAAAGCTACATTTCAGCTCATGCAGGGTCACCTTTCAGCTTGATCTGAGAACTTTTTGACTGCCAGTGTCCACACAAAGAAAGAGGTGGCATCCTACAGACAGGTCAAGGAGAGAGAAGAAAATTGCCCTTTTTCCCATCAGATAAGACAAAGATTAGCTTAAAGCAATCATGAAACCACAGGCTGAGGCACAATGCAGACAAACCGATGGCCTGAAAGTCCACATCCCTCTAGACACACAGCAGAACCATCATAAGGATGCAGTTTGAAGGAAACAAACAGGCTTATATCTTAAAAATCTGAAAGGCTCTGAGATTGGCTCTTTTAGTGCAAAAACAGGGCAATACAGATTCTGCCCTACACCTCTCTAAACCTTACAAGTCTATATGGTGCACAAAGCGAAGAGACATAAAATTCTTTTGCAGTATTTTCAGAACAACACATTCATTCTCTTTTTCACTATCAGTCACAAAGAAGCAACCACCTCAAGCACTTCTAGAGCTACACAGAGCAATCCTCTTATAGATAAGATTATTCCTAGGAGAGAAGGAATTCTGGTCTGTGCATTAGAGGCTGAACAGAGATGACAACCATATGTCACTTGGCAGAAGTCAGGGGTTTGTTTGTTGCTTTTTCAGGATCCCAAATGTAATGAATTATAAAATACAGCCTAAATTAATAGTCAAGGAGGACTTTATCAGGGCCCCACACTTAGGAGATGCTCATCTGGGAGAATCTCTTTCAACTCATAGACTGTTTGACTTGATCAAAGGTTCCTGCTTTTCAGTAGACTTCTGTATAATACTCAGACTCAAGAGCTTCATGAAACAAGAGCCAGGCTGCCTCCCAGAGAAACTTTGAATCCCAGTGAGATGTCAGCCTCATCTTGAAGGCAGGAGGTCCAACTGTTTGGAAAGCAGGAACTTTTGAATATTAATGTGCTCTTACAATAATGAATGGACTGCCAGTCTGTACTCCTTAGCAACTTGGTACCACCTAGATTGATATTTGAAAGGTCTTTAATTGCAACAGAATCTGAAACAACACATATGAATATTTCCATATTTTATGTTTAATGACATTATAACAATTAGACAAGTCCATTGTCTCTGCAGGGGGTAGGAGGGCTTAGATGGCATTAACCTGACTTCTGGGGGAAAGATAAGGCAGTGCCACAGACAAAGCTTTTATATTTTTGAGTGAGCACTGTTCTCAAAAAGTCCAACATTTGCTGGCTGTATGAGACATTGGATTCATCTAAAGAGTGTGCTGAATTTCATGAATAAGAAATCTCCCTAATTTAACTGCTTAGTAAAAACCTTCTCTTTGACAGACTGAGCTGCATTCATGTTAGGCTGGCTAAATAAGACTTTGCACACAGCTGAATTTAAGGAAAGAAAAAAATATCTTAGGTCAGGGAGATAATTTTCACTTTCAGTATCTTTACATAAAACCACATTTCCCATAGCAAGATAAAAGCAGGGAGTAGGTACAAATCAAGGTGAAGAAACAGTTCCACCTTATCGATCTACCGCTAACTGCTCAAACTTGAAAAACATGTATCAGCATAGCATCCCTATCTTATAGAACAAAGAAACTTGAAATTGGGACCTTGTGGTTTGTTTTTTTCTCAAATGAAGAAAGGTTGTAGAGACGTAAATAACTTTACAAAGGCCTTGAAGAGAGTTTAGGATTAAGCAACCGTAAATATGCATAGGTAAAGCAATCTGCCAAGTCTGGAGGACACCAAAGCTTCAGTGACTGCCAACATCTCTGTGCAGAAAGTAATGTTCTCACTTTTTGCAAGTTATTACTGAAGAACCATGTTGAAATTCTACTGAACCAAGCTTAGATAAAGGCTTAGCCATGTTTAGACCAAGCAGTGCAGTGCCACATAGATGCCTGAGGTAGCTGTGAATGACTTGGGTATCTACACAGCACAGTGTCATGTGCAGATATTAGCTTACATCCCAGAAGGAATACAGCCACATTAGTGTGGCTCTGTGCCCAGGCTAATTAGGTGATGTTTCCCCAGTTGCCAGAAATCAAGAAGTGAATCATACATCTGCCAGCATCCAACCTTCTTCTGAAAGCACGGACTGGAACTGTTTAGAACCTCAGTTATGTGAGGATTCAAAGTGAATACAAAGATAAAATCTCATCACATTACTTTGTTTAAAGCCAGAAGGAATTAAAAGTTAATCTGGTCTAACCTATGTGTAACACCTCGCCCACATACCATTAAGTCCAGCACAAGTACTTCAATCAACCCAAAGCACTGAAGTCCTTTAGAGACCAACCTACTGCATGCGTGCCACAGGCAGAGACTAACCATATGCTGTCAAAGCCAAGACTACAAAAATGACAGAGAATGGTAGTTTCCCAAATCATTTCAGCAGAAATCCATTCCTCATAGTGCTGGTTGTTATAGTCCTGGTTGTTAGCTCCCAGCTCTGGCAATGGGGATGAATCCCAGCATGTGAACAAGACACATGGACCAATTACCTAGAAAAAGGATTCTCTGTGCTGCTTCAAAACAAGCAGTCCATTACTAAGATGCCAGCATTTGGTTATGGCCAAACCCTGACAATCTAAAGAAGAAAAGAACAACAACAGCAAAAAAAAAAAAAAAAAAGACCAAAAAACAACCAGTGGTAGGATGGGGTAAAACTTTCCTCCTGATCCCTAGAAGCAAACCACAAAGGTCCTGAAGCATGATGGACACATCATGCAAGCTCAAAGCAGAGCTGTGAGAGTTTCAAGGACTGGTGCAGGCAAATTGTTCTGATACAAGTAAAAAGGAAGGGTTTGATCAGGGAGGAGCATAAACCAACAGATCCCAGTACAGGCCATCACGCTTCACACACAGACACAGAATTTCTTCTCATGAATTGAATCAAACACCTTTTGTAAGATGATAAATGGCCTCATCTTAAAGGCTCAAAATGATAGTGATAGAAAAAGACTCCAATGCTTAATTACACTGCTATCTGCAAAACTATTTTGCCATTCCGAAACTCTGAAACTTCCAGTTCCAGCTACTGAATCTTGTCCTGGCTCGCCAGTGGCTGGATTGTCAACCGCACTATGAGACATCAAGTGTGATATCTCAATGAGTTGAATACATTTATTCACAGCACCAGGCCAGTATTTTAGGCTCTACGTCCTTTTTATGTCCTTTATTTGAATACCTCAGCAGTATCTCTATATAATTCTTAGTATGTCAACACAGAAAAAAAATGGTCTGAGATTTTACTGACTGCCCCCAGGAAACACTTTCCCCCTGACTAAGGCTTCACTGTTCATATAGGCAGGAGATGCAATAGCCATTTTTTGTCTTTCTGCTGCACTCTGGGCTCAGTGGAAGACATTTATCTACAATAGCCCCTGGATCCTTCTCAGAGGTACTGCTTCCCCGGATGGTATTGTATTTTGTAGGTATCATCTGCATTTTTTGTTCCCAGATGTGGTAACAAGTGGCATAATTATGATAGCTGTTAAAATATTGAAATGAGTTACTGTGTGTAATATTTCTGGAAAATGCTAGAAAGCATGATGTTTATTGAAACTATATAAACATGTAAAATGTTTTCTCAACACAGTTTCCCATTTATGTTTGCACAGATGTGTATAATGTCATCACAAAACCTCTTCCAAGAAAGATAAATTAAATCAAAAGGTTTGAATAAGGCAAATAGCTAGAATGCTCTGCTGGTGCCTCAACACACCACCACTTACATCTTTTTTATTATTTTTTTTTCTTTTTTCTAAACATAAAAGATAGTCATTGCCACTGGAAAATATAACAAACAAACAAAAAATGTTATGAAGGATAAAGGTCCTCAGCACAGATAAAATGGCCAGCTCTGAAGCTGCAAAGAAATATGCTTTAATTTAAGAGACAAAAGATAGTATTACAGAAGAAATTGTCATAATCAAAGCTGAAAAAAAAATTCTATTGTCTACTGTGCCTCTCTGTGGGAATTTTCCCAGCACAGACAGCTGTAAAGGAGGAGGGGTATTGTGAGTTTCTGTACTCTCATTCTCTCTCTTCCTCTCTTTCTCTGTCAATAAATGTCTGCAATCATATTCTTGAGCTCCAGTGTGATTTCAAGGTTCATCTCTTCCATGCAGCTCAAACACTAATTATCCCAGCTGTAATTAGTAAGATAATTAAATACTGGCTCACTCATCACTCTACCTTGTGTCGGGTCATGATTCTCCCAGAAGACCTTGAGCAGTTTCTCAAAGCTGATGTTTTCTGGCTGATATACTACTCGTACAGCCTCTGTGTGACCAGTTTTACCTTAAAAGACAAAATAAAATCAGAAGTTATTAGCAAGAATTAGCTAGTGCATGCCCAGTTTTTTATACTGAGATCCAAAGCACAATTATTTGTTTCCCTTTTTATTTTTTAAACACGTTTTGATTTACCATCATTAGCATTTAAGCCTCTTTACAGAATGTTTTATATATATGTCAGCTCTTAAGATACCTGCAAGTTTGGACAAGGCCATCGTTTTGTCAACTTTCAGGAAAAAAAATGAACAGTTCTTAAATATTTGTACCTGAAAACTTTTAAAATATTATTAACTATTCTAAATGGAACATTAAAATAAGAATCATATATCTACATCTTCAATCATTATACATAATTATACATATACATCTATAACTTATACATCTACATTGTCTTTATCGTAGGAAACTGGGCTTCTCCTGCCATGAGATAAAATAATTGTTTATAAAAACAAATTTCAAGAGTGTGTTTACACGAGATCACACACAGAAAAATCAAAACTTTCACATAATCCAACCTACTGATGCCAACAGGCTTTGAAAAGAGTTAAAGAGCCTGACTGAACTTTATGACAGCAGATGAGTTCAAGCAGGATCATCAGGTATTACATCACATTCAAATACATTATTCCTATTTTTCAGTTGCCTTATGGCTCAGATTCTTTCATTCTTTATCTGTCTAAACACATAATATTATTAAAAGATCCAGCTTCATAAAATATAAAGGATCTGGCCACATAATTTTCTTCAGTTATAATTAAATTAGATTGATGAGTACTCAGACATCACATGGTGAGTCCATGGTACCAAGTGCTACAAAAGCACACATGAAGAGTTTATAAATGTAGGCATTTTCGGGTGTCATAATAACTCCACGAGTGGGAAGAAAATATATACCCTATTCTCCATTTAAATCACAACAAGGAAATATTCAACAAAAATAAACTGGACAGTGAGATTTGCTTTTTGGTGGGGATATAATAGACTACTTGCTCAAACTATGCCAGGTTTTGGTTTCATTTACACTGGCATAAATTTTGGTTTTACTCAACTGACTTCAATAGAACTGTCTGGAATTTCATGCAGTACAACAACCAGCTGAATCTAGCCCACTGATGGGTTCAGAATTAGCTGTCACCACATAAAAAAAATCAGAGTCTATGAGTAACTAAGAGTGTTCAGTGAAAATACCAATTTGGTACCAAGAGAAATTTGGAAAAAAAAATAGTGGAAAGAAATAAAAAGGATGCTAGGACATATTAAAGAGATGTATCAGGGAAAAGTATGACAGCATTTTATCAGTTAATTGGGCCAGATGAAATGAAGAAAACTTAAATGAGGCCCAGAGGGGTGGGCTGGCAATCAAAAGTGATTTAAAAGAGTAGGATTAAATTTAGCCTAGAACACAGAGGAGTAAAAGGGGAGACATCTGGGATACCTGTAAAGAAAATTTTGACAAAATCATATTGCTTTCTACCTAGTGTGCTTCACAACACAACAAAAATAGGCTCAGTGAGATTGAAAGGCAAAAACAGGTGAGTTATATGTAACCTGTAGCTAAAGCCATGTCACCGTGTCCACCAGGATAATGTCCAGGCAAACAATGGCCTAATTCCTCTTTCACATGCCTATTGAAGACAATGTTAGCAACTCATCATCTGAAGGCAAATTTGGATGGCAGGTTAACAGAAAGGGATCGTACATTTAGTAGAATAAAAGTAAAAGTCATAGGTAATTCGCTTGATAATAAAGTGAAATGGTCTTTCTATATTATGGTGTGAACTGATGGCCAGTATAGGTCAGGGAAGGCAACTTATTCCAGATTCCATGGTTTGAAGTAGACCGTGGTTCTGGTTATAGATTACCAGGGGAAATAATGTATTTTGCCTTAGATGAAGACCAGGTTGGGAATTTTGTTGTTGCTTGAGATAAAGCAGGAGAGCAAATGGACAGTGGTTTGTCCAGCTTTGGCAAACCTACTTTCTGTAACTAAAAAGAGATTAAGGAGTGGCTTCTGACTTCATTTTTTTTTTTTTAAGCCAATGTGAACCTTATGAAAGGTTCTTACCACTCAGGAGCAAATTGCTTGTCTAAGATGAGTAGCTTTAGATCACAAGAGAGTTTCTTCAAGAACTTCAAAACAACAGAGGCATTACCTTTCCTCTCAGTTGAAGCAGCAATTACATCTTGTCAACACTGTCTGCTCTGACTAATCCAGAAGTTCAAAGAATCAGCTTTCTTCTTTTCCTCTGAATAAGGAAATAACAGTGCTGCTCCAAGAACTATAGCCTGACCTCAAGAAAAAAAAAATCCTCAGATGTGTGGCTAACAGACTGTTAGAACCTAGAGCATATTTAAAATCAATATTCGTTCTCGGAGGAAAAGCAAGGAGCTAATACCTGCTAGTCTTATCAGATCCACCTTTAATTTTCCTCAAAGCTTTTCCACTACCTAGTGGATTTTCTTTCAGAATATGGCATGGCTATTTCTATTAAGAACAATCTTTGTCATTTGTGGTGAGCACTCCTACTTCCCAACAATTTTAGTCGAAACCATACCAATCAACTGGGTACACGTGAGCAAACGGAGAGGTAAAAGGCTTTATGTGGGACAGATTAACCACAAGCTTTCCTGGAAGAAGCATGGATAGAAAATAGTATTGGGGACAGAGGAAAAGAAAAGGCACAATCTCTCTGCAGGTACAATGTGCTTTACAAGGAGGAATCAACAGATAGCCCAACGTTACCCTGAGCAGTACATGGAAACTGGCAGCCCTGGTTCACTGGTGCTGAACACGACTCAGCTGCAGCAAAAGTGACAAAAATAAACCAACATTGGGCTCTCCCTCTTTGCCTTCTTAGTTCACTTTTTGCATTTGGCTTAAGTTTGACTACAAAAACAGAACGATCGCATTTCAGTTTGGATTTCACACATTTGGTACACTGCAGCACCAAAGGAGCAGAGCAGAGATGAAAAGATCTAACCACTCCTCTGTATTGTAAAATAAAATAAAATAAAATTCTAATCAAATCTTCTTTGTAAGATTTCTTAAAATGGAGAGGCAGTAATCAAAGAAAAACAATAAACCCACTTAGTCTCAAAAAAGCTGTACGTTTTTCAACAAGAAATTGAACCAGCTAACACTGAACAGCTGAGACAATTTAAACTGATCAGTGATGGATGCTATTCTCTCAGTAATATTCAGCTCTCAGAATTTATCATGAAACATTCATTTATATTAAGTCAGAGTCATGGTGTCCTCAGATCACCTATTGGTTTTAATTAGCTGATTTTTAATATTCCACAGTAAAAGCATGCTTCATTTTAAGTTCCAAAAGTTTTAACAAGTATGAATATTTCTAGAAGCCTCCTCTCAAAAAAGCTCAAACTTTGAACCATGTTTTTTCAATAATTTATTGAATCACTCACTATAATTTAATTTGCTGTTAAATGGGCAAATATAAATCCTTTATTTATAGGTGCCATTATCGGATTTCCAGTTATGGTGCTGAGTTCTCCTTCAGCTTTAGAAGGAGCTTAGCCATAGAAGAACCTCGCTGCAGATGATAAGACTTTATTACACCATAGCAGAGAGGGCTGTGTGCCAACAGCAGATTGTCTGTTTATCCTATATCCATTTCCCACTTAGAAAACATAGCCACTCTCAGAGGATTAGCTACAGTGAGCTCTTTCAGTGGGGATTCAAACTCTGGCAAAAACGTTCCTGTAAAGAGCAGTGCAAAAAAGACATCTGAGTGACACATCGGTGCTTCTTTTCAATTTTTTTCTTCCTAATAGTGTTTAGATTTTCACCTTCTTAATCATCTCCCAGGTGAGTGCCCAAGCCAACGGATTATAGAGGCGAACTCATTCTTTTCAAGTTGCTGCATCCAGTAAGCATTTAATTATTTCCTGCAAAGTGGAACAACTTCAAAGGGCTGGCTGCGGAGCACTTCACCTGTGAATACCCAGCCACCCAGCTGCTATGGCGCTGCCACGTGGCACATGTGCCTCTCCAGCTAGTCCAGCCCTGGCTGAATTAGGTTAGAAAGTTCAACCAATGCCTAAACTATTCCCTCGTGTACCACTTATTTAATAAAAAGGGCTTGTGTCTCTTAACCCAGTGAAATAAGGGGGCTAAATCCAGGAGATGCTCTACAGGGTTTGAAATCCTGAAGAGCAGGAGGCACCAAAGCTTGGCAAAGGGCAAAGCTACCAGGCTCCTAGAGAGGTTTCTAAATGCTTTCCTACAAGCAATAGCTGATGTGCCATCCATTTTGAAGTATCCATCTCTTCCCGCATAAAACAGGCAATCCAGGAACCCAGCTGGTTGCTGCCAACTCCACCATGGCTCCATACCAATAAATCCCACCAAGGCACAGGCACAGGTGCTGGGATTTCTTCACCCACACTGCTAAATGGTTAGCATGGTACCAGCCCAGTGTTGACTCACTCAATTCCCAGACCAGAATTCTGGCCATGAAAAATCCCCAGTGAGCAGCTGGGATGAACCACTGCTTGGACATATGGCTGTGGGCAGCCCATGCCCCTCAGTCCCTATATTCTGTAGGCAGCACCTTTATGGCTCGAGCACTTTGGCTTCAAGGTGATTGCAGCCCAAATGCTAAAGCTAAGAACCAGACTCTCAGCTTGTGCTCTTGTCTATAGTTTTCCCCTTTTTGTGCAACACACTCTTCATCAGCGTCATATTTTCTGACACAAATGTAAATGCCTAAATATAACTGAAAGGAACGGGCAGCAGATTTTCAGCTGACGCACATTCCAGAGCTTATCGATTTTGGAGCTGAAACTATTTGTGCTAGCTAAAGCCTAGGCCCTAGTGAATACGCAAAGTATTACATGAAAAAGTAATAGGCCTTTTGAGCACCTGCTTCTCCAAATCACCCTGGGAATTTTTATTTTGTAGATATCGCTAATAACATCTCCAGCTTCTCTGTAAAATAGAAGTGTGTTAAATAAACAAACAGATTAGACACACCGAGAACC